GAAGATTGTTGAGTTTATTAATTTGTCACGTGAGCCTACATATGTAATTAATTTTGTAAAATGCTATCTTAAAATTGAGCTTAATTATAGTGATCTAATAAATAATTAAATTGTTTTGCTTAGAGTATCTAAATAAAGTATGAGTTAGATTATACGTGTAGAGACCATATCAATTATGGTTGTATTTGACGATAAGCCAATACGTATGAAAACTATAAATAGGGATATGGTCTCACATTCATATGCAACTTCACATTATTTTTTGTAATCACATCAACACGAGAATACAAGTGAAATCATATTGAATAGGAAAATCCAAAATCTCCAATCAAGAATTACAGTCAAAAATCAGGAAGAATGATTGAAACAATTAAATCAAAAAACAAGACAATAAATATTATGAAGCAATATCAAGAACTCAAGAACCAAAATAGCCAATTATCAAGATTCAAGATCTGGAATCAAGATCCAGTAATAAGAAATTATTCTCAAAGTCTAATATATGTTCCGCATTATTATTTTTCTCGATAATTTGACATGGCGGATCGACAATTAAGCAATTATGTTTTTTAATTTTATAAAGTTTAAAATTTCATAAGCTTTCAACGTAAGATACCTAGTTGCCTTCCCTGTAAATATGTGAAACTTGGAACATCATGTGGGACAAAGCGTCGAAGGCAAATCTCCTTAAAGAACAAAGCTTCTATGACACCTATGTCGAACCACTATTCGACAATTTTGCTATGTAGCATAATTCACTTTCTATCTAGATTTGTTTTCAACCATTGTGACACCCGAAATCTCCACCACACGACACACAATTACAAATTTGAATATTTCGATAATTTCTATAACAAAATAACATCAAATATTAGCTTAAGCATGCACGTACTAACTCTAATGATCTCGTTTGTATGTAAATTCTATGTAATGCTACTAAACTTGATATTTGTCTTTGACATTTTGATGTCTGCATGGTAAACTCGGCATTTGGGATATCATTTATGGGCTTTTTTGAAGTATTGATTTTGAGTGATTTTAGTAGCGATTGAACGTTCCTACCCATACTTGAGAGTTTATTATTCACAGATGATGAAAAGTTTTTTAAAATAATAAAATTACATATAAGTCACTTAGCGAAATTTTCAAATTATACTTTTTTGTGTAACTTTTTTATTTATAAGTGATATTTTACTTTACGTGTCAGTTAAAATTTAGCTTAAAAAGTTAAATACTTGCTCACAATTTCAAGCTAATATTTTTACTTGTAAGTAAATAATTATACATTTATAAATTAATTTTGCACTTTTAAATTATTTTTACACATAAGTGAATTCTTTACTTACAAGTAATTTTTGAATTATAAAGTAAATTTTTTGCTTATAAATAATCTTTTTGTTAATGAATTGTTATTTACCAGTTAGTTGTAGACAAAATATATTAGTTGGAAATAATAATTTTATAGAGGGTAAATTAAAATAAAATATTATAAACGGTCAAAACCCATCAATTTAGTGGGATAAAAAAATGATCAAAATTACACTATACTAATTTTGTGTAGTTTTTAAACCACAAAAGACGGTGCCCAAAAAAAAAAATTAGTAGACATCTATTTTTTCAACCTTTCATAAACAGTGCAACTTAAAATAAAAAAATCGGTGAAAAAAAAACTTCTAAGCAGGCTCAGAAGGTTTATAATTCAAACATATCATACTTTCTTTATAAATCGAGGCAGAAAATTTGTAAATTATGCATTTTCAGTTTAAATTTTTATATCTCATTTTTTTAAAATTCATTTTCAAACACACATTTTATCTGATTCAAAATTTTAATCAATTTTTCAATCAAAAATTTAATGAACTTTTATCAAAATTTTCAAAAAACTCGATCTTTTTCAAAAGCAGATCAGGCTAAAAAATGTGATTTCATCGACTTATTTTTTTAAAATAACACCAACCAAAATGGTGATTTCATCAACTTTATTTTTTAATATAAAACCAAATCATGTCTAATATTTAAATAAAAAAATAATTTTAGAAATGAAATATTGAATTTTTTTAACAAGGGTGAATATATTCACAACACAATTTTTGTTAGCCGCGCTACGTTTTAATTACAATGAATATCCCTAAACTTTTCATAATTTTACACTTGTGTTCTCAACTTTTTTCTTTTAATTTTTTATCAACCTTCTATTAATTTTCACATTTTATCTATAGAGACGATTTTCATCCAAAATGTTTGTTACGAGGGTCAAAAGACATATTTATCTCTCGTATTTTTAAATAACTAATACAAAAATTAAACAAAATATTTGTCCATTTTTTCAATGCAAGTTAGTAGAATACTTGGATGGAAATCGTGGTTAAAGGCAAAATATGTTAATTAATTAAAAGTTAATTATGATAATGCGTCGAGAAAAAAGTTGAGGACATAAGAGTAAAAGTGAGTAAGTATTGGAAATATTTAGGATCGGTTTATTGGCAAATGTGAAAAGACAAAACAATTCCATATAAGTTGGAAAATAAAAATTCAAGTACCCCATATGAATGCATATTTCATGGAATTGACAAAAAAAAACAAGTTTAAAGTG